CGGCAGCGGCTGCGGGGCGGCCCGGGCCCGGGGCACCCCGGAGCGGCGGGGCCGCCCGTGCCGAGCCCCCCAGTGCGGGTGGCATCCCCGCGGGGGGGAGAGGCGCGGGGACCGCGAGTGGGGGCACCCTCGGGTGGCAGACCCGGGAGCGGTGGCAGCCCGGAGGGGTCYGGGGACACAGCAGCCCTGGCAGCCCAGAGTCGGCGGTGGCATGGCGGGGACACAGGAGGGCTGGCACCCTGGCGCCGGAGGAACGAGGGGTGCCGGACCCAGGGCAGAGCCGTAGCGGGCAGTGATGCCCCTTGCCCACCCTTGTGTCCCCAAGGCTGCCAGGCCACCATGAGGCAAACGTGGATACATCCACAGCACCAGGTGCTGAACCCAACACACCACGGGCACGTGGGTGCTCGTGTCCTCGCACACCTCTGCGCCTGCAGCCCTGCACACCCCCAGTGTCCCTGGGCACCAGGCCCCCCGTTTGGACGCTGCCTTGTCCTACACCACCAGCCCCGGCAGCGGGAGCACCCGCAGGGCTCACCCCTGTGCAGCACCAGCGCCAGGCAGGTGGCTCTGCACCCACATGCAGAGGTGACACATGCCTGCGCCTGCCCCCGAGTCTGGCCCCCAGCCCAGGGCCTTGCACAGCAGGTTGTCACCCTGCACCTCAGCTACAGTCGACCACGTGGCTCCCCCACCCCATGGGGCACAGGGGGAGCTGTCAGGGTACCAGTCTCCATGCCAGTGTTGAACCATGGCTACTGCAACCTGTGCACCACCACGCTGAGTGACGTGTGTGCGAGTGGGACACCTGCAAGCAGGCAAGCAGCTGTACCTGCACACCACCGTCCCAAGGGCAGTGCCAGCATATGCTCAGTGTCACCAGGAGCTGCTCCTACTGCAGGTCCCCTGGAAGGACTGGCTGAAACCACAACGTAGCTGGCCATAAGGTCACTGCATTGACACCCTCAGCACCCCACTGCCCATGCCAATGGGTGCTGTCCAGCAGCAGTGTGCCCCAGTGCAGTGGCACCCTCTTGGGGTGTTGCTGACTGTTGCTGTCCGGGCGTGCGAAGTTGTGCAAGTAGCTGTGTGCATGCAGCGGCGGCTGTGCGCACAGGAGGGTACACCTTGCCAAACGTTGCCCAGGGCTGGCGATGGGGCTGTGCAGAGTGAGGGMGACTGTGTGTCACGGTGTGCTGGCACGGGCCTCTGTGTGTGTGTTTGCCTGTGTGTTGGTGTACCGCAGGCGGAGGGTGTGCGCCTGTCTGTGTGTGCTGGTGTCGCCGCCTGTGCGAGTGCCGAGGTACCAGTGCGGGACGCGCTGCTGCGGCTGTGGCTGCAGGCGGCTCCTGCCCGGTGCCGGGCTGCGAGCCCCGGTCGCTGCACCGTGCTGCTCCCGGGGCCCGAGCGGGCGCGAGCGCTGCCCCAGGGCAGGGGCGGCTGCCGGTGCAGCTGCCGGTGCCGCTGTCCCTGCTGGTGTC